TTTATAAATACTTTATAAGTAGAAAAATGGTATAGTAGAAAGATAAGTATACTATAAATAAGAACACCTAGATTCTAATCTAATATCTTACTGCCAAAGTTCAAACTCATTCAATTCATATATGAAACCATTCACAATACTGTACTCCCCTATCTTTTCAGTCTTGAGTCATATTATCTCACTCCATAGAGCTTCAGTCAACCTATATTATTCTCAGTCCCACATACTTGCTCTATGCTTTCCAATCTTCTAGTCTTTCTTCATGTTGTTCGCGATGCCTAGAATGTGCTCCTTATTCCTTTCCAATGACTGAATTCCTACCCATCTTTTAAACTTCCCACAAAAGGTTAGGAGATTCCTGGAATAACACAGAGAATAATATGTACAATTAAGGAGAAAGAAAAGCGGAAGAGTACTACTAATTCAAAAGAGACAAGATCCAGGAAGAAATTCAGCTATTAGACCCCCAATCTCATATGTCTATTAAACACACACACACATACACACACACACACGTATACAAATAGGACTTAATAAACAGGATAAACTAGATATCCTAATGCAAAGAGGTAAACCTGATTTCAAAGATGTCATTAAGTGTGAGAAGGGACTCACGACTGAAAAATATAGCTCCTTACACAGTCCTGTAAGAATCATTTTAGCCTCCTAACATAAAGAAAAGAGTAGAGGCTTCCGATAAAGATAAGGAGGAAGAGGAGGAGGAAGTAGAGGAGGACGATGATGATGATAACTGAAATTTATGTACAACACCAAAGTTTTCTAAATTCTTTACATAATATCTCATTTGAAACTCACAACAGTTTTTTATAGATAAAGAAACAAATCTGAGTGGACTAACTTGCCAAAGGTTAGTTATCAGAAGCAGAATTTGAATCCAAATGTCCCTGATTCCAAGTCCAGCACCACACAACTATATCTTGTTGTCTCTAATAAAAAGAATTGGGTAATAGTGTGTTTTTTAGCTATACTGGGGGTAAGAAAAAGATACGGGGGAAAAGGATAAGTCCATTCATAAGTACAAATGAGATAACGAATGACAATGGAAAAAGTGAAATTTTTCATCTCTTATTTTGCTTCTCTGTTCTCTTCCCAGGAATGGTCTTTGGACTGAGGACAGAAAAATCATCAAGGAATAGAAATGTAAAATAGACAGGCAACATATAACTACTTTTAATGAGTTCAACTCATCAAGCCCAGAAAAACTACCTCTTAGAGCAATTTTGTGCTGAGTTTTGCTTTTATGCTATGATTTATACAGAACCTACACTTGGAATCACAATTCCATATTCATTCCTGAGTCTTCTGGCAACTACATGGAACTTATACTTTGATTTGCCTGTTCATTCACAAGTCTCCTAATTCTCCACAATTCCTCACAGCAAAAAACATTGTGCACTGAATAAAAAAAAGTTTTGAGAACCACTGACTTAAGAGTACTGAAAGAATTAGCAGATATAAGTGTTAAACCATTGTCCGTGTCCATGTTGTTTGAAAACTACCAGAGAATTCAAAGGCACCAATTTTCATAGAGCTATGAATATGGCTAACTTTGTGGCAAAATTCTACAGCACGCTATTAAAAAAATGGTTAGTGAGCACCTAGGGAAGCAATAATCACTAAAAGCCAGCATGGCTTCACCAAGAACCAGTCATTCTAGATTCCTCTCATTTCCTTTTTTGACAGGATAGTTAGTGGCAACATAGAATAGAGGGCACAGTGAAAGTCTTGGAGTTAGAAAGATTTGGCTCCAAATCCTGACTGATATGTAGCTATGTGATCACAGGTAAGTCATTTAACCTTTCAGGGCCCCCGGCAATTAAGACTGTAAGTGATACCCACCAATCTGCATTAACAGAGGGAGACTTCACTTTTACACTATCTCCACAATGATGAAACCTGAGTTCCAAAACAAAACTCAGCCAAAACACTAAATTGGTAGCTAAGCATAGTGGTATAGACACTGAACAAGCAAACTATGCTTATGAATAAGATGGAGAGAGATGAACTATATGTGAGTACAATCAGATTTTGAAGTAAATGAAGACTAGACCCAAAGAGTAGCCATTAGTGCCTCAATCAACAAGTATTCACCAAGTGCCTACTTACTTATATTGATGGTGATGTGCTAGATGCAGGAGGTAGAAAAACAAAAATGAAAGTGACTCTGTTCTCAAGAGGCTAACATTCTAAAAAGAAGCAGCTTACACTTTAACAGAAAATACAACAAATACATCTATAATACGTATGTACAGTACAAATAAAAATAAATATAAAGCAATTTAGATAGGGAAGGGCTTTAAAACTTGGGAGAATTTGAGAGGTCACTAGAAGAGGGCCCCAGAGATCTGTCCTTGATCCGTTTCTAACAATGAGTTGAGGTGACATAGCATAGGTAAAGCATTTTAAGGAATGAAAATAATTTAACTGGTCACTAGATACCTATATCATATCACTACTTAAAAGCAGATATTACATATTTACAAAGGAAGTAATGTAGAAATAAGAAGTGAAAAGATATAATTTGAATCAGAGAAAGAGAAACAGAGAACCATACTAAAACTGATTACTTAAAATACTTTTTTAGCTTCAAATTCTGTTCCTTCATTATCCCCCTCAAAAAAGAAAAAAACAGACCTGAAATTTATATAGAACACTGAAGTTTTCTAAATTCTTTACATAATATCTCATTTGAAACTCACAACAGTTTTTTACAGATAAGGAAACACTGAGTGGACTAACTTGCCAAAGGTTAGTATCAGAAGCAGAATTTGAATCCAAAAGTGCCTGATTCCAAGTCCAGCACCATACCACTATACCTTGTTGTCTCTAATAAAAACAATTGGGTAATGGCACGTTTTTATTATCTATATTGGGGGTAAGAAAAAGATAGAGGGAAAAAAGATAAGTTCATTCTTAAGGGCAAATGAGATAATGAATGACAATGGAAAAAGCGAAGCTTTTCAGCTCTTACTTTGTTTCTCTGTTCTTTTCTCAAGAATGGTTTTTAGATTGAGAAGGAATAGAAAAATTATCAGGGAATATAAGTATAAAACAGTGAAGACAGGCAACATATAACTACTCTCAATGAGTTCGATTTTTTCCAGGATGTTTTCTAAATAAATTCCAAAATGCTTTTCAGTTACAAAAACTATAAAACAACGAACCAAAATTTCTTCAGATCGTAAACTTGTGTAATAAATGGAGGTGAGGGATAGGGTGGGAGGGAGGGTTATTCTATTCTTTCGAGACAAGCCAAAGATTGAATTTAATGTTAAAAAGCATACAGTAAACACGTCCTCATATGATCCTACAAGGCAGCTAGGTGGCTCGATCGATAGAGCAGTAGGCCTGGTGTCAAGAAGACCTGAGTTCAAATCCAGCCTCAGACACTCACTCTGGGCAAATCATTTAAACCTCTGTTTGCCTTAATCCCCTGGAGAAGGAAACTACCAAGAAAACCCCATACTGAGTCACTAAGAGTCGGACACAACTGAGTAACAACAAACGATTCTACGATCCTAAGTACATGGTGACTTAATGTCAAATATATATGAAGCATTACATACTGTAAATCAAACTAAAGCTTTTAAATGCCAACTTGAAATATGCCCCAAAACGGCAACATCCGTTTTTATGGTCTATCCTTAAAAAAGAGCTCTATATTATCCACACAATTTGTTAACTCTGATGGCCTAAAAAGTAACAATCAAGTCTTGTAAAAAATAATCACAATAAAAGAAATTCTAGTTGAGGATTCTGTTAACAGCCAAGAACATCTGTCAACCTAAATACTGTAGAGTTAGTTTTTGGTAAATAAAAAGTTTTGGGCTGTCTATATTAACCAACTCACAAAGTAAGGAAAACTACTCATCTTTCATCCTCTTTCTATGATACCTTGTATCCAACAATACAAAATGTCTAAATCCTATATTTTACCAATATTAATCCCCCAAGTTCTTACCGCCTATCGTGTAGAATACATTACAATATGAAGTAAACAGAATATTTACAATTCCAGGCTTAAATTTTTAAGCAGTCATTCAGACAAGGAAAAAAGAGATTCAAGAAAGGGGCCTGCAAATTATCCAACTGACTCCTTCTTAACCGTATTAACTTCTGCCTTTGGGGTGAGGGAAAGAGAGGAAGAGGGTAAGATTTCCTAACAGGTCCCTGGAGATCCGTGTCACAGCACAGCTCGCCCGCCGGTGGCTCTTACCCATTTGTCCAAGGGGACCTGCCAGAGGGATCCAGTCCCTTGGTAGAGATCCAGGCTGAGCTGTTCTAAGCTCAGCTTCTCCTGCAGGAAGTGGCCCAGGTACCTCTGCAGCAGGTACCTGCAGGCCCTTTTCTTGATAGACTCCGAAAAGGGCCAAGGCATCCTGGCTCGTGGGCGGGCTGCAGCCGGCTACTGCCTTGGGGGCTCAACAACTTTCGGGCTCCAGAACAGCGCCGGCGGGGGGCGGGGAAGAGAGGACACGGAGGCGGCGCGGCGTCGGGGCCTCGACCTCGGCCAGCACGAGTCCCCTTCTTCCTTCGCCTCCGGCCCGGCCCCCTCTGGCGTCTCCCCTAGCTCAGGGACCGGCCGGCGTCCCCATGGCCCGACGCGGCGTGCTACCCGCCAGCTGCTCTAGGCCCCGGCCTCGCGGAGGCTGGGGGAGGGCCCCTAACCCCGGGCGCCCGACAACAGCCGCGGCTGCCGACGAGAGAGAGGCAGAGACAGCGAGCCGAGGACCGGGACGTCGGAGGGCGAAACGCCCCTGGAGCTGAGGAGATCGATCACCACAGCGACGACCCAGAAGCGACTTTGTGGTCTTCCGCCGCGGCTGCGGCTCCCCCTCCCGGGCGTTCGCTCCGTACACCCTCTGGGGAAGCGCCGCCGCCGGAAGTGACGACACAGAGGCGGGGCAGAAGGAGGCGGGGGGAGGGAGAATGAGAACGCTTGAGGCGCTTCCGGATTCGAGCGGGCGGGACGGGGCGGAGCGGAGGTGGGAGGGGAATGGGAAGCGCGAGGGTTCACCGGCTGCAGCTCAGAGCGCGGAGGAGGGAGGGAGCGGAGGTTGGGCGCCTTGGAGCGCAGGTGAGTCGGTGGCTCGGGCCGGCAGGCCCAACCCCGGAGGGGAACGCGAAGGATGGGGTGGGCGCTCCGGGTGAGAGGCCGCATGAGGCCGCCTCCTCCCCTGGAGCCTTAAAGAGCCAAGGGAGGAAGAGGATCCGGCCTGGGCCCGCTTCTCTCGCCCTGGCCGCGGCGCCCGCCGCGGAAACGATTAAAACTACGCGCATTTGGCATTTAAAGCCTTTAATAACTCGGTTCCGGCCTGATTCACGTTACTCCGCCTTACGCCCTCCACTGGCCTACTTGCTCTTCGTCTCCTGCCCCGCGCCTTTGCCTAGCTTGTCCCCCATGCGTCCCGTGCTCTCCTTCTTCGCGTCTGGCTCTTGCAATCCTGTTCCCTTTCAAAACTCAAATTCCACTTCTTAGTGGACTCCCTTAGTAATTACCCTTTCTTCCTCTCCCCCGCCCAAGCCACAGTGCCCAAGTTGTTATTGCTCACCCCTCCCCACCCCCAAACCACTTTGTACTTTGTTTTGCTAGTGAGGCGCTGTTTTGCCTCTTTAGAGTGTAAGCTCCTTGAGAGCCGGAACTGCTTCCTTTTGTCTTTGTATTCTGCGTGTGGCACGGCGCCCCGTACTTCCTTAGTAGCCGCTTATTAATACATTGTTGAATTGAATATAATTGCATTTTTAAGTTTACAAACTTCTCTCCTCAGACTTCTTCCCACGTTTTTCCTTGTCCGAAAGTTCATCCCTTTTTTGTCTTCCTTTTCCTCCTCCACCTTTATTGTCTACCCTGTGCACCTGTATTCCCAAAGAAAAGCCGCTTACTCCTCAGAAAAGCTGGGAGGAGTGTTGTGCTCCGAGCATGTGTGATGTGCGTAACCTTTGGACTGTCGAATGTTGAGCCCTTGTGGGTTTGTTTTATACCTTTGATTAGGAAGAGCCAAGCCTTAGTTGTGTAAATAACAGCTGCGGAGCAGGTCGAGTAGTATTGTTAGCCCCTTTCCACAGAGGAGGAAACCGAGGTGTGTAATAAAAGACTTGCCACTAGTCAGTTGCAGAACTAGGACTCGGGTCTTAAGATTCCTAGTTGCAAAAAGGAATCATTGTTGTGTAATGCCCTGAGGGCTCGATATGGAGGCAGGAGCCATGGGTGTGGAAAGTCCTGCCTCAGACCCTCAAGCTGTGGAACCATGGGAAAATCACGTAATGAATGAGCGTGTTACAATGGAAAGAGTGCTGGATCTGGACTCAGGATACCTCGGTGTAAGTCTAGACCCTTTTAGGTAATAGCCATATACTTTTGGGCAGGTTACTTAATCTCTTTGGGCCTTAGTTTCCTCAGCTATAAAATGAGGGGAATTAGAGATGGTCACCAAGGTCCATTGTAGCACTGAATATGCATGTGATCCCTTTGATCAGAGCTTTTCTTTCCTCTTCCTTCTTTCCTGAAGTTGTTGACAGGAACATGCTTTGTCAGTCAACAAACATTTATTAAGTGCCTGCAGTGTACCAAGGGAGAGAGAAAAATAAGAAAATAGGTACAAAAACACACTCGCAGAGTAGAGGAAGGCACTAGTAAATGCAGGGGATGTAGAAAAGCCTCTTGCGGAAAATGGACGGAATGATTAAGTCATGGTTGTATTCCCATTGGTTGAATGCTGATTGCTAAGTGAGGTTAAGAATTTGGCCGAGCCAATTTGGGTAGCATTCAAATGGTGAAATCATTTTATATTTGCAAGGAATTGATTTCTTTTATCCATTTTTTAGGCATAAAAAGGCTGGATGATAATGGATGAACTGCTGAGCTCGCATTCTGTAAGACTGGAATTCAGATCCTGCCAATGACACTTGTTAACTATTGTGACCTTGAGCCACTTAACCTGTGTGTGCCTCAAACAACTCCCCAAGCCCTATGTACTAGGTACTGGGTCTTTGATCTGGTTCACTGTTCCTGTGCTGGTGAAATAACAGAACCTAAGATTATATGCTCTTATTTAAATTTGACAAGAAGATAACTGCCTATGAACTTATTCTGGTGCAGTAGAAAAAGCACTGACTCTGGAGTCAGGGGAGTAGAGTAGAAAGTGGACTGGTTCTGGAGTCCTGGGACTTGGTTTCTGATCCCATCCTTTGCTTATTTATGTGAACTAGGCCTTAGTTTTTCTCTGCAAAGGAAAATGACCTTTGTATTAGAAAAGACAGGGGAGAGAGGTGACAAACCAGAGTATTGATATCCGAGATAAATAAGAAGATGAGAGAGTACCTAGCTCCCCTCGAAGAATTCAAGTCACCTGACCCAAATGAGCTACATCCTTGGATCCTGAAAGCTCTAACAGATGTGGTTGCTGAGCCATTGTTAGCAATATTTAAAATATCTTGCAAATTGGAGAAAGGCAAATGTCCCAATTTTCAAAAAAAAGGAAGAGAACAGATTCTGCAAAATATAGGCCACAAATCATTAAAGAGTTGGTTGGCCAACATCTAGATTGGGAAGTGGTAATTACAGAGACTCCTTGGCTTCATCAAAAGCAGGTGATGATGAATCAATCTCTTTTCCTTTTTATAAAAGGCTCACTAAGCTAGTAAATGAAGAAAATATTGTGAATAGTGTTTACCTAGATTTTAGCAATGCTTTTAACAAAAATCTCATACTAGTCTTATGGAGAATTGGAGGGCTATGGCTTATACATAATCCATTGAAATATTCATAACTGATGGGATGGTTGGACTCACTTAATTGTTGATAGTTCAGTATCAGCTTGGCTGGAGGTTTTCAGTAGAGGACTCTGTATCTGTGTTGGGTTAGCCCTGTGCTGTTTGTTGGGGGACAGTGGGGGTTATTTTGATCATGACTTGGATAAAGGCATCAATATCATGTTCATCACATCTGCAGATTCCAGAAAGCTGAGAGGAATAGTTGACATACTAGATGACAGCATCAAGATCCAAAAGAATCTTGATTGGGTAAACCCCTAAGCTGAATCTAACAAAATGAAATTCATTAGGGTTACATGTAAAGTCTTACACAAAAGCTCACCTTCACAGGTATAAGATGAGGCATGGCTGGATAACATGTTCTGAAAAAATATCGGGACATTTTAGTGGATTGCAGACTCAATGTGAATCAGCAGTGTGATATAAGAGCCAAGAAAGCTAATGGGATCTTGGGCTCCATTAAGAGGGGCATGGTTTCCAGGGAAAGATGAAGTGATACTTGTTTGTTGCAATTTGAGTTAGACACTTGGGTTAAGGCTTGACAGACTGTGGGAGATAGTGGAGGATAGTCGGGGATCACAAAAAGTCAGACACAACTGAATGACTAAACAAAAAATTATCTACAGATGTTCCCTATTAAAATGTATGTATGGTACCTAATAAACATACACTCATGAAAACAGTGCAGAAATTTTTCAGATTAGCCACTTGTCAGCTAACAAGTCAAAAACCTAAAGCAACTAGCACAGTACTTTATACGTAGTCATTGTTTGAAAAATTATTGTTGAATTAAATAGGATAAAGTACACGCAAGTTATAAATAGGAAGAAGAATTGGGTAACCATGAGGACACTTCTAAAAAGGAAGTGAGTGCAACAAAGGGATGACATAAGGGCACTGGGCAAGAGAAAGGTAAGGGAAAGAAGGTGTGTGGCACATGGGGCAGAAAGAGAAGCAGGAGCAAGAACAAAGGCCTCAAGCAGAGGCTCCCCAACAGGGCCTGAGATAGCAAGTCGTCTTGAGATGATATGTCTTCTAAGCATGTCTTATCCTTTACCATCTTAAGTTGTAGCTACAGATCCAGCATTACATATTAGTGTAGTCTCATGCCGAAGGACCCAGACCACCAGCTCAAACTCCCTGCCAGCAGCACCCCTAGCCTTCCCAGTGTGTGAAAAGGAGATATTTTCACTAATGCCACCTCTATCACTGAAGGACCTTAAAGGGCAGAGACCCCAACCAATTCATACTTCTCCACTAAAATGACTAGGAAATTAATACCTCTGTCTCTCCTAATCCCTATTATTTAAAGTATCAATTTGCTGATATGAAAAGCTGTTCTGAAAGCTCTGCTTATGTTCTCTACTCTAGAGCAGGTAGGTAGGTGGTGTAGCGGATAGAGCACTGTACCTAGAGTTGGGAAGACCTGAGCTCAAATACAGCCTCAGACACTTCTTAGCTGTGTGACCTGGGTAAATACTGTAAAATGAGGGCCATGATAGTGCCTACCTTACAGAGTTTTTGTAATCAAATGAAATATTATTTATGAAGTGCTTAGCACAGTGCCTGGCACATAGTAGGCACTTAATAAATGCTTATTCCTGCCTTCCCTCTATCCTTCTCAACTGTGTCATTCCCCAGTACCTTTTCTTTTTTCCCCTTTCATTGTGCCATCTGGAACAAACTTCCTTTTGTAATTTACATTGTCATGTGTTCACAAAAACTTGATGTCAAATGATGTCTCAGGCCACACTTTCCAGGACTAATTAATCTTTCATTCTCTCATGTCTTCCAACAAACTGGCCAGGAGGAGGTGGTGGCATACTGCTTGCTCCCTATTGACATTTCCAGATCCTCATTCTTAGCATCACTCAGCAGCCTTGCCTCCTGTTTGCTACATCCATCCACATCTTCATTTCTGTCATTTACTTGCCTTCTTTCTCAAGGAGTTCAGTACTTGGAACATAGTGTTTCTCTTCCTCAAACCCCTAGACTTATATTTGGAAATATCAAAATACAGATTGCTGTTTCCTGTAAACTCTGACATCTGTTGTTTATCAGCCTCCAACTTCTATGACCTACGATCTTTATTCTTACCTCACTGTGTTACCTCTGTGATTTTGAACTCTTTAGTAATGATCTCATGTCTTTCCATGCATCTTCACTGTAACCATTGGTTCCTCCAACCTTTTTTGTTGCAGTTGACTATCTATCTTTTCCTTCTATAAATCATGACCTTTTGACCTTGACTAATTTACCTATACATATCCTGTGTGCTGTATCTATGTGCCATGTCATTCATGT